TTCATTGTGGTTTTTAAGATTTCAGGGTGCACACAGAGGTACGTAAGTCATAAAGAAAACGTGAGTCTTCAGGAAGGCAAAGGCAAGGCACTGCTGTAGCAGTTTTCTTTCTTGCTCAGGTATAACCAAAAGGTACACCTTAAAAAAAAAAAAAAAAAAAAAAAAAAGTTTCTTGGTGAGAAGAGCTGAAATTATAAAGTATATTTGTCAATTTTCCCCTTCTACCAGGTCTCCAGGAACATGGGTTTTTTTCTTCTCATCTAGATGGGTGCCATGAAGTGCAGTGAGAATAGTGCCACCTGTTTTTTCCCAATCATGTCTACATGAGAATTTGCTTTAAATGACGTAGAAACGGACCAGTGTTGACTTATACAGAGCTCGTGGGCATTTGCAACGTGAGGCTGAATTAAACAGCCCTGCAAGTGAAAGGCAGTGCAGGACAGCACCTTCTGGTTACAGACATTCAGAGAGAGACTTCCATTCTCTACAATGCTAGTGATGTCAAAAAAAGATCTCCTGCCTAACTACAACCACCTCCTTCCCCTTAGACCTTTCACCCTAGAAAAGACAAAGCTTTTTCCAGCAGTAGTGCTGGAAGCATTTTATTACCTTTCCTGCAGGCAGAGGTTTCTCTCCGTAGGGATACATGAGAGTGGTCAGGTAATGAATGGGCTGATGGGCTGAACATCTGCAGGTGCTCCGTAATGACAACAATTAAGCTATTCTGGAGCTATTACCATATTAAATTAACTGACTGCAATGCTATTAATTAGAATTCATGTTCGAGAAATGAAACAGCACAGCAATTACATTGGTATTTAATGACCTGTAAAAGTAAAATATAAAAATGCCAAATTTCCTCCTGTAATTCATTTAGCGTTGGAAGATGGTGGGTCAGGCTGCTCCCCCGTGTAACTCCAGCTACTTCTGTAGTTTTGCAACATGAATGATTATGACTCGAGTTACCCTTTATCTCGAAAGGATGATTATTTGGCAACTGATAATCAGAACTCCAACAGCTCTGCCAAAATTTAGAAATCAGGGAAAGTTCAGCTGGAATCGTCCTGAAGTCCGAAATTCAATACAGTTTTGGGAAAGGTTCAGTAAGGTTTGTGGTCTCAGCAATGCGTTTACAGACAAGATCCAGCAGCGTTTACTTTTTGCATAAGGCTTTAAGGCCTTTACTTTCCCTCAGCTCCTTTCCTTGACTAAAGTAAATAGAAGTGCTTTTGACTTCATATTTGCTATTGAATTTCTCAAATTCTGTGACACGGTGACTTCTTCAAGGTAAATCCTTGGAAACTGCAGGAGATGTGTCCTGCCTAGCTCTGTGGGGTGTCGTGATGTCAAGACCTGGACCCATCTGTCCTCGTGCACAGCAGCTGCAGGAGCTTCGTGAAGTGTGCTCACCACGGGCCATGCCTGGAGCTTTGTTCTTGCTCTTGAACTTGCTTTTGCTCTGCCAGGGTGAGCTCACCGAAACAGCCCCTGCTTGTTATTTTGTACCACCTTACAGCTGGGAGCTCCAGGTGCCATCCACTCATGAATTGAGAAATGAAGTAAGGACAACAAGCTGGAGCAACTGAAGCACTTGTGGGTTGCTGTCTGCACGAGCAATACAGACTGGGCCAGCCAGCTCCTATCCATGAGCCATCATCCAGCGTGAGGTAAGTTTGTAGAGCAGCCCACGAGGTGTTGCTTTTGGCCTGTGGGAGCTCTGAGGCAAAGCTGCTTCCAGCCCTCGTTGCTGCTGTCTGAGCTGGAGCGTTACAAAAAGGATAGCAGTGATGGATGTTACCCTTCTGTAGCTCGTGGCACCGGATCCTGGCTTGTCCACGCGTTTTTCGTTGCATGCTTTTCATGGGAAAAGCAGAGCCATGGCCCAGGGCATGTGCAGAAAATTCTCTGGAAGAGAAGCTGCTGTACTTACCCTGGAGTCTTCCACAACAATGCCTATTTCAGGCTGATTTTCTTCCCCTGGTGAGACGGGAGAAATGGTGGAATTTTAATGATTCATTTTATGGATGGGTCTGAATGTTTATTGTTGTTTTAACTATCAAAATGTACAGAGGCTGGAATCCATCCAGAGAAATGAAGGCGATTTCTTTTATTTCCTTACACTGCGTGGGGCAGTGAAATATTTCCATCTTTCTTACAACAGCCGTTTGCCTCATGAGCAGTGGGGCAGAGAAATTTGCAAGTTTGAGGAAAAACTGGATGGTCATCTACACTGGAAGCTTAACTGTGAGGTGTCACTTCTTATCTGCTGCAGGTTTGGGGCTTTCTGATCTTCTCTCTACCTATGCATTCATAGTCAAAGCTGTTAAAAATAATGTTTTACTGTCCCAGAACTTCTTGGCTCCAGTCTCCTTTACGTTTACTTTCTCAAGGCTTGATGCAAGGACATGGCTTATTTATTTTTAATCGCAGTAAGTTCCTGAGTGTGGCTCTGTGCTTGTGGGAAGCTGCAGATATAACTTGACATGCCCTGTACGAAATCCCAGGAAGGTATTTTTGTTTAAATATCAAACATTGTTTAGCCTCAAGTGTTTTAAATCAGGCTTAATCCCTTCTGCCTCTTAACCAGACTGTACTACCCCATAATTTTAAAAATAGTTTTATATACATGAGCGGGGAAACAGCCTTGACAGACCGCCCTGGTTGTCCTCATAAACGTTCGAGGCAAACTTTCAAGCCTTCAGAGAAGGCTTAATGTAAAAAAAAGAAGTAGGAAGGCCCATGATTTATGTCTCTCTTCTTGAATTTCAATAAAAAGGGATGATGGGGTGTTGCAAAAAAAAAATGGATTAATGGATTGTACCTGGAGTTTTGCGACCCTCCAGACTGAGCCACTCTAAATGTCCAAGTGTGACCTGTTGCGTAGTCTCTCTGTTGGAGCTCTTTCAGTGACGCTCTTGCAGTGGGCTGGGAGATAGAAATGCCTTGGTGAGGCTCTCCTGTGGCTCAATTTCCACCCCCAAAAAATGTGTTTTGTATTATGATTGTTGTAATTGCTGTTTTATGAAAAAGGCAGTGTGCTTGAACAACTCTTCCTTTTTGTACGGATGGTAGAGGCTCAAAATAGTTCCTTATCTCACTTTGGAGGCTTTTTTGTCCAAAACCCTTTTTATTTTGGAATGAATAATAATAATTTAATGTGGCCTGGATTTGTTCTTTGGCACTATGTCCCTAATTACAGGAAGCTTCTCATGTTAAGGTGCTAAAGTTTGCTGGGGAAAAGGTGTCTCAATTTCCACCATTTGTTGCGGGGATTTTCACAGGGCACAGACAAAAATCCCAAAGTTCTGCGTAACGCATCGGTCTCACTGTAAAACCCGAACGGACTCTTTGTGGATGCTCTGTGCCTTGGCAGATTGGTAAATTCAGGAGTCCAGAGGGTGACATATTCCCTAGAAGTCCAACTTTATGTCCCGGGGGTCTGTCCACCTTGCCAAAGCCACGCTTTTTCCTCTTCCACGCTGGTTTTGATGATTAAACAGAATCATCAGGCCGTGAGAGACAGGCATGGGAAACACAAAGCTGAAAATAATTGTTCCCTACCACACAACCGAGGACTCAGTTCGAGGATCCAAGCCCACACAGCATTATGGGTATTAATTTTAGATAGTCACCTTTTTGAAGCTTATCCTAACCTAATTAAGTGTCTGTTTTCCCCTCAGGGCTGGCACTTTTACTAGATGAGATAACAGCTGCATCTCTGCGAGGAGCCTTGTGAAGGGCAAAATATTTGTTAGCGGTTGCTATTTTCAGCCTTGCCAGAATAAACAAAGTGCTAGGCACCTGCAGTCATTTCTTTTCAAAAGTCAGCACAATCCGTACGTACTCGGGGGGTCAGCAGAAGAAGGAGCAGGGGAACGGGCGGGCTCAGCCGGGAGGCTTTGGGAAGATGCTTCTGCAGGGAGCGATGGGCTCTTTGGTTTGGAGGCCCGGGGGATGGTTAGGTGATTAATAATGCTCTTCCAGCAAGGATGAGGAATCTGCAGAAGAACAAAGTACTTTGAAATTGTTCATGCATCTTGGGACAACGCAGTGTGAGCCTCGCCTTGGCTGTAAACAAGACAGCTAGCAAAAACAAACTGGAGGAGTTCAGACAGAGGCTAAGGCAAGAGAAAAGCAGAGAATATTTTAGTCCTTGCTCTGTTTTTGGCAATTAACCACAACTAGATTTCAGAACGCATGATTTTAGACCCTGCCTGTCTAAATATGTCTTCAGCTCGAAAACAATTAGGCTTTGGGCTTAATGTGCCTCGGAGAGTTGTATAAATGAGATCAGGAAAACTCCTTACACAAGAAAAACATTCCTGACTGTGTGGGAGAGCAGATGGCACTTGGGTAAACTGTGTTTGTGGGAAGTCCCCCTGTGCCCTTGGATGGCAAATGGCTACTGCCTCAGCTGTTCCCCTGCTTGGGACTGCAGGAAGCTGTAGAGAAAGCAAGCGCTGATAAAATGCACTGAGTGCTGCAGTGATGCAGCAGAGAGAGTCAATGTGCAGGCATTTCAAGGGTCAGCACTGGTGAGCTGCATTGTTCTGCTGCAGGGTTTTGTAGCCCAGCTCATGTTTGGTGGCAGGCAGCAACGTTTAAATCGCAGATGTGTCGCCGAGTGGTGCCTCTGGACACTGCTTCAAACCCCAACTCAGGCTACAGGGAAGTAGCAGAGAGGGATTTGTGTGCCAGCACCATACCCAAGGAAAGGACAGGAGTGAATGCACCCTCAGGTGGGTCTGGATAGGGATGAAGGACCTGCTGCTGCTCCCCATCACCTGGCTGAGGGCCTCTCATGGTAGGAGAGCTGTGTGCGTGGGTACATGGCCCTGAGACCTCTTGGGGCGGGGGGTCACCCTTCAAAGGAGAGAGGTAAGACCTCCACCAAAGTCTGTCTGTGAATGTCACACCATTGTGCCTGCAGGGTTACGATCCACACTGCATTGGATAAAGGTATTTGGGAAGAGTGTCAGGGCCCTGGGGCCTCTGCTAGGACTTAATGGCCCTGATGAGCCTCACCTGGGACCACTTTGCCCACAGCCCAGCCCCCTGGCCCAGCAGTCCTTTTTCTGCTGACGCTGCAGCAGGGTTGCTCTCCAGTTCTTCATGGTTCTGCCTTGCTGGGGGCCCTGCTGGGCAGGATTGGGGGCATCCCAACTTCTCCTTGTGGTGATAGTCCAAGCCCAGCAAAGAAGCTGCTGCTTTCAGTGAAGGTAGGGCAGGGGATGACTGGACTGGAGGGTTAGTGGGTGTTTCTGTAGGTCTTAGGTTAGTTGCTTCAACGTGTTGAGGGCATTGGAGGAGCCTGGAGGGAGCTAGGCTAGAGCTGATCCTTCCATACTGTTAGGATGAGTTGGGTTTGAAAACAACCTATTTAAAAGTCTGTTTTTTGTCTACAGCATTTACCTAGATGGCTACTTTCCCTCTGTAGTTCTGTGTTTTTCCAAGTATATTTTATGAGTAAGTATGAAGCCCTCGTGACTCAGTAACCATTTGGGATGTTTACCCAAGGGAGGCTTATCCTGTCGTCCTGTTCTTGGTCTCTCCTAGTCTGCTTCCTTTCCCACAATAACCCTTCTGTTGTGGTTTGTTGTGGGTTTTGTGGGGTGTGCGTGGATTATTTTGGGGGCCACTTCTGCATTATTATCAATGTCACCCCTTTCATTTTTCAAGGAGAGCGGATATTTGCAGGTGGAGAGTATCTGTATGAAAATGCGGTACTTACTTGGGTTGCTATGAGTGAGGAAGTCTGCAAAAAGTCAGATTTTCCAGGTCGATAAATATTTATTATCTGAAAAATCTGTTGTGAAGAGATTTATGAAGAAGCTCAAAACTTGACACTGATGAATAGCCTGCGTTACTTCTGAATTCGGAGGCATCTATAGGAAAAATAAATGTCCTCTTTTTTGCGCCTGAGGGACTCTCAGGGGGCTACAAGAGCCTGGTAAAGCCACGTAGTCAGCTCCTCTGGAGAAACAGTGCTGGAGAACAAAGCCTGGAGAAAAGCACAGACATCTTAAAATCCCAGTGATCTGCTTTCCCCTTCAGTCAGTCTTGTAACACCTCACACCCTTGCACGACCCCGTGGTAGGACAGGGCACAGGGGAACCCAGGGATGGGAAGAGCTGATGGGTGAGCCTTCCCCTTACCAGCAGCCCACCTAAAACCAGAGCTCTTCCAGCAGGCTGACAGCAACTCCAGCTCCTGATTTCCTTGGTTTATGCATATAGACAGCCTCCTCCTGCTTTCAGGAGTGCATGCTCAGGGGAGCCTGGGAAAACAATTAGTTTTTTCCCTTGTTTGTCTTGGGTAATGCCAGAATAGGGGCTATGATGAGAATCAGCCTTTTAGAAATAATGCTAAGGTTGGACTGCCCGGTGCTTTTGGTGCCCCAGAGATGGGTGGGCTGATCAGCTGAGAGGTGCAGAAGAGATGCTGGTTAGGCTCTCAGCTTACCTTTATGCTTGTCCATTCATTATAGGAACAAACACTGGACGAGCACAACGTCTCAAGCTCCAAAGTTCACTGCAGTGGCACTGGAAATAAAAAAAAAAAAAAACAACTGACTAATGGTATGCAAGGAGTCCTGAGGACAATGACTATCACTTAAAAGAACCCAATTTCAGTTTGATGATTCTTCCTAGTTGATCTGGGGTATCTTGACCATCACGTCAGCCTAAAATATCTCCAGTGTTACAAATGTAGTTAGCCTGATCTGTTTCCTTTTTTAAAATTATAAGGTGCCTGTAGTGATCTATCGTTCTTTGCTTTCTCCCTTCTGGAAGAAGGGTTATGTTGCCACCGCACACCCTTGGCAGTCAGACAGATCTGAGAGAGCCCTTGCATGCTTTCCCACAGGAATAAAAGGATGGAGCAAGGATGTCTCAGATGCAACTGGCTGAAGCAATTGCTTTAGCACCAGGGACTCAGCAACATCTTGTGAGGGCTGCATCACTGGTTCTACATACTAGCAAACACTGAGTATAGTGAGAGGAGTTGCTATACGTGTGCCCTTCTCTTATACTTTTTACTGCCCCTTTAGTTATACCCTGTACAGCCACTCTGTAAAGTCCGAGATAAAGCAGCTTTTAAACTTGGCATAACATTATTTAACTAAGTGGTTAGTTCCCAGCAGAAAGGTCTTTTCAGCTTATCTTTGGAAGACAGGGCTTTATTGTGCTCTGGCTCTGTTACAAATTCTCCCAGTTTGCCCTCTGTTGAAGGGAGATCTTACTCCTGAATTTTTATGCTCTGAGGGTAAAGACCTTTAAATATGGTACATCCAAAGCAAATTACAGCCTTAATCTAACAACAGCTGACTCAAAAATGAAGGTTATTAAATGTATTTGGGAAGGTGATAGTTTTGCCATGTTGCTCCCAGTCTGTAAGTGAAATCTGCACCTCCTTCCCTCACTGCTTGTGTTGGGTAAAGATTTACTCCTGGTGTTCAAAGATGTCTCAGTTGTTAAATCTGGTGAGTTCCAGGTAAAATTCAACATGAATTGAGTGCATCTCTGCACTGTAAAGCATGCCCCTCATCTAGTCTGTCTATGGGAGAGTGACCCAGGGCAAAGCTCTAACTGTTGCCAAGAAGCCTACAGCCCAAGTCCTTGGGAAATCTGACTCAGTAAAGAAATTCTTGCTCTTTTGTTTACAAATTCACTCTTCTGGTAAAAAACTTAACTTCTACATTTTTCAGTCTTACAGTGTTAAAAGCCCCATATACATACTTATAACTATTTTTACTGGAATCCTGACCTATGGAGCAAATCCACTTTTGATTTGGCTGTACTTTGAGAACAGAAACCAAATTTAGAGTCAAAATTTACTTTCTTATCGTGGACTATGCAAAAAATGAGCATGACACACAAACATCTCCTGTGCTGCCCCAGTTGCTGTGGCATAGCTTTCTGCAGGAAAAGCGTTAAGAAAAGCCACATTAACCTCTTGTATCACATCTAATGTTTCACCATGAGCAGTGAAATCAAACCGAACCAGCAAATTAAAAGTAAATTTATGGGTGGTATTGTCTCTTTTCTTTTTACCCTTCTGGAATAGAAATGAACTAATAGGATTTGGAGACAAATTTATAATTAAAAGTGACAGTTCCTACCCTGGTAGTTGCATATTTAAGTTTGTATTTAAAGGATACGTTTTGGTTGGCTAAAGCAAAATTAATTCCAAATACAAAAGTTAAAGAATTACCTGTTTGATAGATCTTCCTAAAAAGCCGGTGTGAATACCAGGCTCAGAATGATTTGTTGAGCACACTAAAGCTGCAGTCATGCATAAGCAATGAAGCAAGGCATGTTGTAGCTCTCTAGTTCTGCTTGTGGTCTTGATCTTCTTAACTTTTTTAAAGCTACTTCTGTCCAGTTATGTTTCTGCTTTCCTTTAATGATCTATCTTAGGCAAATTTTGATCCGTCAGTGATATGCCATGGTTGCTTTCCTTAACAATATTATTGTTTCAAGTTGAGGTTATTTAAACAAAAGGTTCTTGAGATACTTTCCTGTAGCACTCAAAAGAGTCTTTTAGATTTTACAGATTCCACCAGTCTTTGCTGAGGCGTGAAGATTAAATTTTGCCTTTGCTCAAGCTGTCTGTCATTCAACTTTATTCCTTCTGGTGCTCGGTACACTGTAGTTTATCAGATAACAATAAACTGAAAATAGTTTCTTTAAAAGATTTTCTAAGTATGAAAGCGCAGATTAAATGGTCAAGATGAATGAATGAAAAGCTCAAAAGTTTTGCAAAGCTGCCATTGTTTGCATGAAGTGCACAACTCAGTGCAGGCTTAAATACAAGCAGTACTGAAACTTAGGGGAGGAAGGGATGCTGCAGCTTTTTGTTTGGAGGAAATGTGGTCTGAGTCCAGCTGTTAAAATTCAGAAAGAGCTTTTACAGATTTAAAAAGAAAATGCTTAATTGCTGGTGGGAAGGTAAAATGCAAATAAGGATACTTGAATGGAAGGAATGGTGAAGAGGTTTAAAGAATGATTAAGGAAATTGATTCCTTAATCCTTAAAGTACATTTCAGCATTTCCTTCTCTTTGACTGTTGAAGTTTGTGAAGTTCTGAAATATCTCTGTCCTTCCAGCCACATTCAAGACTGTCTACCATAAAAGCTGGGATCTGGAGGGGTCCTGTCCTTCTGGGAACAAGGAGGTCACTTCTACATAATGCTCCTCCTTAGGGAAAAGGGGTTATACCTATCTCTCCTGAATTGCAAATGAGGATCTGCCAAGGTACGAGCAGGTTCATAATGTTCTTGAGTGGGGAGAAAAGGGAGCTGTGTTTCTCAAGTCAAGCATGCACTAGCATCTAGGGTCGAGGCTTGTGCTTTAGGGATTTAGGCCTAGCCTGGTCTATCAGTGTGCTGAGCAGGGAGCTGCTCACCAGCTTAAGCCACAACTATGACATTGATATGCTGATGAAGGATTGGGCAGAGACAAGTTTGGAGCTTGTCACAGATTCCCATGAAGGTTCTTTACTCCACTCTGGGAAACCTTTTTGTTTCCAGGCTGCTCTCCAGGGCTTTGTGTATATTGTAAATACAACAGCCCACAGTCTATCTTCCAGCCTATCACCATGTGGCAGAGCCTTGGTCATTTTGAGATCATCAAATTCTTTCTCATCAAGACAGAGAAGGTCTTATCAAGTCTGTTTCTTGGGAACTACCTCGGCCCGTGATGTCCTCCAAGGAAGCCTGCACCCTTGGGATTGGGCTACTGGGTGCAAGTGAAGCCCAGGAGGTGATGTGTGGGCTGTTAAACAGTGTGGTTGTTCATTTACCAGGTCGTAGGCATGTGCTATGGCCTTGCCCAGTTTATTATTTTTGATGTAGCCAGAGTACAACGTCCACAAAAGCATTTGACTTTCTTCCTGATTTGGGCTCTTCTCTTCCAGCAAGTTGCAGTGCCCGATGCTTCACGGAAGGCGTTATCCTCTGCTTGGTTACACCTGGAGGGAAGCTTCTTCCAAGCACTGATCACGAGAAGTCTAGACCATAAGTCATTTCCAGCCTGTATAGTAATGCAACGCATCAGAAACACAACTTCTATTCCAATTCATGTAAATACTCCTCTTTAGAACATCTTGAACTGCTTTTCTTGTTAGTGTGGTTTTGTAGCAGTCAACTCATCCTGGCAAGTCAAGGGGTTGAATGAGTCTGATCATACTGCTGTGCTTTAATGCTGTCATTGTTAGGTTTCTGCAGATTCTGGTGGATCTGCCTAACCAGTGAGTAAAGATGAGTAAGGAACATAAAGGATTTCTTTAACCTCACTTCACAGGCTTTTTTTTTTTTTTTCCCCTATTCAATTGCACTTTGATCTATTAGAGTTTTGGTTGCTTACAGACATAAGCCACTGAGGTATATTGTGCTCACTTCCTCGTCATTTGTTTTTCTGGACAGACTGTCCTTACTACTGATTACCTGCCTGTTTTCCTTTTGAAATCCAAGAGGAAAAATACCGTAGCAAATAATCATGTAAACATTCTGTAAATGCTTGGAAGATAACAAGGAAATGAGTAATAGCCAGCATGGATTTGTCACGAACAAATCGTATCAGACTAATCTATTATTTTCTGTGACAGTGTAACAGGCTGTTTGGGTAGGGAAGAGGCAGATGATGTCATGTGTCCTGACATTAGGATGCTCTGACATCCCTGCAGATAAGCTGGGGAACGTGCTCTGGATGTGGATTTTCTGATGTGGTTGGCTTTGTGTCCTCAGCAAGTATTTCTCCATGGGTCACTGTCAAAATGGAAATAAGTTGGCAGCGAGGCATCATAAGGGTCTGTAGTGACTCTGGGCATAGTCAATGTTTTCATTAACAATTAATTGATGGAAGAGGAAGGATGTGTATTAAACTTGCAGATAATTTTAAACAGAGAGAGACTGGAAGGTGTGTGAGGTAGTTCTTCCTGGCTACTAGATCCTAGGAGAATTTCCACTGGTGTAATTGTGCATAGGTCAAGGTAATTTACACTTCTTCCTCGAAGTAAAGATGAAATTAGAAAGCAACAAGAAGGACCAGAGAGCACTGGTCTGAGAGGGAAAGCTCTCTCATGCTGGAGCAGGGGCTTGGACCAGACGGGCTCCAGAGGTCCCCTCCCACCTCAGCCCTTCTGTGAAGGCTGAAAGACCGGTGCTTGCTTAGTCCAGGGAAGAGAAACCAGGATGAAAGGCAAGTCTTAAGCGCACAGAAAGCTGCCTTAGCAAGGAAGGGAATAACTTGTTCTCTCTGTAGTGTAGAGGCTGGGAAATAAGGGACTTAAATAGCGCCAGGAGCTGCTGATGTCTGACACTGGGAAAAACTTCTACCATTCGGGACAATGAAGCACTGGAACATGTTGCCTGGGCAAGGTGCGTGATCTCTCGTACGGGGGTTTCTAAGAAGGAGACAGACCAAGATCTGTCAGCAATGACGTAGCTACGAGCTGATTTCTGCCTGAGGGCACGGAGATGTGTTAGCTGAAGCCTCGAGTCCTCCAAGCGCTGTTTTCTGTAGCTGCGTGTCGCTGCTGAATTCAGCACTTCCATATTCATGTCTAAGCTCTGGCTGAGTACATGGGGAGCCTGAGGTCTCTCAGGCCTCTCCCCTGTGCTCCTCTCTAATTTGGAAAATGAAGCCCAGGAGGGATAGGTCTAATTATGGTCTAGTTTAGAGGCACAAGTATTAGGGAGGGGAGGGATAAAGAACAGGAGCCTGGGTGCGGAATGTCCTGCCCTGTGTACCAGGCTCAGCCTTGTTGTGCTCCCAAGAGGCCCATCTGTGATGGCATTAACACCAAGCAGCTCCATCGCAGAGGAGGTCGCATGCAGAAGCCATTGAATTAAAATTTCAGGCAGTAAGGGAGGGCTTGTAATGTATTGGCAGCATTATCTGTAGCGGCACTGCCAGCATATTAGCGATGATGATGGAGTGACTACGGGGGAATTCATTAAATTTACAAGAGTCTCCCCAAATGAATCCACTGGCTAAAATACTAATTGCTGCCCTTGGGAGCACTTTGGCCATTTAGTTTCCAAGCAGAGCTTGCTCTCAGAATAGGATTATGCTACTGATGTTTTGCCTCGGTAGCGTCAACTTCTGTTAGGGTTTTCAGTGCCATGAAGTTTGTCTGCACAAAGCTCGCTGCCTTACTGAAAACAGGGCCTGCGAGAAACTGTATTAGGAGGGAGAAATGTTTCAATTCATGTGAAGTGCTCAAAAAGCATAAATATAGACAACAACCAGTATTATTGGTGGCAGTGATAGCTGCATGGTCCCTTTTGCTAAAAGAATTCTTAAACTTAAAAATGAATGGATAGAAATCCTCCGCTTTCCTTCTTAAACTGGCAGATACTTTGAGGCTAATGGATAACGTTGCAAAGTCAAGTGTATCCCCGTATCTGTGAATATACCCTGGAGAAATTGTCCAGAGCTGGAGACTGCAACCCTCTCCAGAGGTTAGGGTCTGTGGAGGGTTTCCTGAATGAGCTCAAAGTGCAGTGAGTCACAATCTGGATATATAAGTTTTTTATTTGTAAGTTCTGATCCTGGTTTAGAGAACTGGAGACTGGATGAAACAGAACAGATTTTTTCCAGGTGCTGTGATAGTACCACAGGTTGGTTTCTTGACTATAAAATTGAAATCTGTAATAACTTTCATGGGTCAGTAGCCGCAGAGTCTATTTCTTTAGAATTAGAATTAAACCGTAATGTGGAAAAGGTGAAGCTTTTTTGGATGAGGAGATGGATACTTTTTGTCAGACCCCTAGTATTATACACTAAATATTAAAGATAGCAATCCTAGCAATGATAGTAATCAATAGCTGAGAAAGGAAAGGATATCTAGGGCTTGTTCATGCAGTGTGGATGTATTTCATAGCTAAAAGACTGTGAGTCTTTTATAGTCCTTGCTGTACCATTAATAATCTCTCTTTTGAAATGTGCTGATAGGCTTTTTTTTTTTTTCTGAGATCCTGAAGACAACCATCTGAATGACTGTCTGACAGCAAGGTGAGCTTTTGGGGTGGGAGAGAAGACTTGCTCAGTTCTGTTTCGCAGCTGCAGGTAAATCCAAACACAGTTGCAGTGTTAACCGGCATACTCTTACTGCTAGAGTACAGCTTTCCAGCTGGGCTTTTCTTATTTTGCACAAGATGCGATCCTTGCTTGTCAAACCTGGGAGATGATTGACTCCTTGATTGTATTGCCTTGTTCTCAGTACATTGCAGTGCTTCCCAATTTACCTGCCATATGGCCAGCTCTTCTCAGAAATCCAACTGCACGAGCAATTTGTGCCCAAGAACCCGGGAAGGGAGCACATTATTTACAAAGTATGTAACCAAGCACTGCGATCCAACCCATTAGCTGGGTGACATCCTTCTCTTTATTTGGACAGTTTAGAGGCTCTGCGGTTTCAAGTGGGAGCTGTCACTTGGACTTTCTGATCATAAAACTTAATTGAAATTTCATTCCTCTACCAGGAAGCGCCAGGTCACCAGATGGTTCCTAATTGTTATGTCCACACGTTATGTGCTGCAGCCCAGCACAGAATATTGTTTGCACTGATGTTACCAGGACAAGTGCTATGTGCACTCTCCAAATTTTTAACATAATATCTTATTGTTTAAAAAGTGTAAATACTGAAGCAGTTATTTTTACTTAACAGTGTGAAGTAATACATTTCCACAAGAAATTTCTGAAGATTTTTTTAATTTTGTTTTCTAAATCATGAATAAGACCCTAGCAGCTCTTTAACCACAGCAAACCACTGGTTTCCTATTCAAAAAATCAGACTTTACGGGACTGTAAAAGCTGTGATCCGATCTGGGAGGTGATTCAAACCAGGCTGTCTCAGCATATCAGTATATGTGCTATAAGTAAGACACCCTGAGGCAAATGTTCTCCAGGACTTTGGATGGAATACCTAAAGTCAGAATTTAGAGTAGGAGATGTTAACGGGACAAATGGGGGAAAATCTGCCTGCCATGTTAGGTTCTTGACAGGCAAGGGAGGATATGCATATTGTGTGGATGGGCGTCGGCACACTTCATACTTCTCCAGCTCTTGCTCAGGACCTTCTGGGCTGGGAAGTGCACTCCTGGTGCTGTGCTTTTTCGAAGTGCATGTCATGAGCTCACTCCTTGCAGTGGGGCAAGCATATCCATGGTAGAAAATAAGGGTGACCACTGCAGTCCATTGAAGTTGCAGGGCTGGATCCTGATCCTTTGCCTGCCTCTGTCCTTGGAGATCTTTTCCCTTTTGGTCATGTACCTAAGGGTGTCGTAGCTGGTCCTTGTCCTTGTAGCTTGTTTTGTGGCTCTTTTTGGGAGTAATAACGCAGTAGGAGGTAAAGTTGTTGCAGAGGATTCTTGTAAGAGCAGGAACGTGGCCTGCTCTGAGTAGGCTGGAGCTTTCATGCAGAAATGGACAGAACTATTTAGGACTCTTCAGGAATAACAAGCATGATACTGAATGACAGAACCAGCTGCCCACTGAGACATGGGAATGGAGGTCACTCAGAAAGGCAGCTTTTGGAAAATAGAGAGTAATAATAGATGATATGGTGCCTGAGGGATTTCCGACCCCTTGCAGGACTGGAGATGGGAAGTTTCCTAGCTGATGCATTGGAGCATCTCATTTGCATCAAGAGACATTTTTGCACTTAGCCTCCAGATGTGCTTAAAAGTCTTGTTGATGTTCCCCAACAGCTGTCAGGAAGATGAGGAGGAAAGAGAGAACAAGTAATCCTCATCACCACTGGTAGCTTTACAGCAGGTTCGAAGCTTCAAGTGGCAGGGCTTTCCTCTTGGCTTCTTCCATCACTTTTGTTCCACTCTCCTGTTTTTAACTGGGGAGGCAAAGTGTGCTTGGTGGTACATGCATTTCTATGGGTACTGTTCACTTTTAACTTTTTGTCCAGAGTGACTGCCAAAGTGAAAAGAAAAAGGAAAAAATCAACAAGTTGTGGTGCTTTGTGCCAGGATGGATTATTACTCAGTTTAAGAGTTCAACCCAAGGTATCACTTCTGATTATAGAAATAGTTTTTATCCATATATATCTTAAAAGTCAAGCTCTAAGTGAGATGCCAACTGAGAAACATAAGTTAGCCA